GCTTGAGGCCTACAAGCTTATTTTCTTCCTTTCTACATTTAACATTGTGAAACTTAGAACAAAAGGGAGACAAAAAGACAAGATTCTAAAGGATTCTACTCTGCATAAAAGCACATACAGTTGAGGAGATTTGTTTAAGATGGCAGAGTAGAAGGACGTGCGCTAACTCCCTCTTGCAAGAGCACCAGAATCACAAGTAACTGCTGAACAATCATCAACAGGAAGACACTGGAACTCACCAAAAAAGATACCCCACATCCAAAGACAAAGGAGAAGCCCCAGTGAGGTGGTAGGAGGGGCATAATCACAATAAAATCATATCCCATAACCACTGGGTGGGTGACTCACAAACTGGAGAACAATTATACCACAGAAGCCTACCCAGTGGAGTGAAGGTTCTGAGCTCCACTTCAGGCTTCCCAACCTCGGGGTCTGGAAACGGGAGGAGGAATTCCCAGAGAATCAGACTTTGAAAGCTGGCCAGATTTGATTGCAGGACTTCGATAGGACCAGAGGAAACAGAAATTCCACTCCTGGAGGGCACACACAAAGTAGTGTGCACATCAGGACCCAGGGGGAAGGAGGAGTGACCCCATAGGAGACTGAACCAGACCTACCTGCTAGTGTTGGAGGGTCTCCTGCAGAGGTGGGGGGTGGTTGTGCCTCAATGTGGGGACAAGGACACTGGCAGCAGAAGTTTTGGGAAGCACTCCTTGGCATGAGCCCTCCCAGAGTCCACCATTAGCCCCACCAAAGACCCTGTAGCCTCCAGTGATGGGTTGCTTCAGGCCAAACAACCAATAGGGAGGGAACTCAGCCCCATACAACAGCAGACAAGTGGATTAAAGTTTTACTGAGCTCTGCCCGCCAGAGCAACACCCAGCTGTACCCACCACCAGTCCCTCCCATCAGGAAGCTTCCACAAGCCTCTTAGATAGCCTCATCCACCAGAGGGCAGAGAGCAGAAGCAAGAAAAACTATAATCCTGCAGCCTGTGGAATGAAAACCACATTCACAGAAAGACAGACAAAATGAAAAGGCAGAGGACTATGTAGCAGATGAAGGAACAAGATAAAACTCCAGAAAAACAATGAAATGAAGTGGAGATAGATAACCTTCCAGAAAAAGAATTCAGAATAATGAAACTGAAGATGATCCAGGACCTCGGAAAAAGAATGGAGGCAAAGATCAAGAAGATGCAAGAAATGTTTAACAAACACCTAGAAGAATTAAAGAACAAACACCTAGAAGAATTAAAGAACAAACAAACAGAGATGAACAATACAATGACTGAAATGAAAAATACAGTAGAAGGAATCAATAGCAGAATAACTGAGGCAGAAGAACGAATAAGTGACCTGGAAGACAGAATGGTGGAATTCACTGCTGTGGAACAGAATAAAGAAAAAAGAATGAAAAGAAATGAAGACAGCCTAAGAGTCCTCTGGGACAACATTAAATGCAACAACATTTGCATTATAGGGGTCCCAGAAGGAGAAGAGAGAGAGGAAGGACCTGAGAAAATATTTGAAGAGATTATAGTCGAAAACTTCCCTAACATGGGAAATAGCCACCCAAGTCCAGGAAGCGCAGAGAATCCCAGGTAGCATAAACCCAAGGAGAATCATGCTGAGACACAGACAGAGAGTAATCAAATTGACAAAAATTAAAGACAAAGAAAAATGATTAAAAGCAATAAGGGGGGCTTCCCTGGTGGCGCAGTGGTTGAGAGTCCACCTGCCGATGCAGGGGACACGGGTTCGTGCCCCGGTCCAGGAAGATCCCACATGCTGTGGAGCGGCTAGGCCCGTGAGCCATGGCTGCTGAGCCTGCACATCCAGAGCCTGTGCTCCACAACAGGAGAGGCCACAACAGTGAGAGGCCCGTGTACCGCAAAAAAATCCAAAAACAAACAAAAAAACCCTATAAAACTTAGATATATTTTATCTTACATTTAACAAAATTTAACTTATAATGCAACTCTGCCCTAATGACTAGAACAAAGCAAGAATGGGTTCTGCTGACACTTTTTGGCATATGTTTTCTGACAAAGTCGTATAACATGATCCAATTTCCTTGAATTTACTTTTCACTTTTGCAGCATAAAAGAGGTTCATTTCTGCAAATATATTAGAAAGATCCACCAATTTTTCCTAATGCCCTCTCCTATTCTTTGCTATTCAAAACATGCTTTTCTGAAGTTCCATCCTGTCACCTTCCTTGTAACTTCTACAATTGTCAAGCCGTCTGATTCTGGCAGGGCCTCATCTGTCAGATCCCACCAGTTCAGCACCATCACTTTCAGTAACTTCATGGAATTCTACATCTTTAGCCAGATTCCCTAGTTTGTTTCACAAATTAGATTATGTTTTATTTGTATTATATTACAGAATCTTCACATCAGCTGGCAATCAGCAGGGAATGGACCGACAGGGGCCTCAGAGGAACAGTTACACAAAAGAGATACTGGAGTAGAGGCCGACTGTATAGTAGACAGTTAACTGGGAAATGTGTCAGCTTTGTAACAATTTTTACTTCCCTACATAATCTCATAACCCTTTGTGCTTTCCTGCACAGGCAAATGAGATGAAAAAGAAGTGGGTGTATTTTCTAATGGCAGACTCTACTGTGGACAAATGATCTTAGGGCAGAAAGAAAAGTTAGAAGATGAAAATTCATTTCCATACCCTGCCACTCATCAAGATTCATTGCCATGTGTAACCCAGAGTAACCTCAGGTTCAGTGCTTGCCCTTTGAGATCTACTGTGCGATCTTGCCTTATCTGACTCTGGGTTAACAATTCTTGCCTCATTTCAGATGCTGCTTAGTAATTTTATTTCTGAGAACAAAGGCTCAATCACAGGTCAACCTTAGGGAAAAAACCCGGAAAAGGGGGTATCCAGAAGTGTGGTCTAGGGGAGACTGCAGTTGGGGAAAGTGAAATAGAAGAGGGACAACAAGAAGAATGTCAATTGGGCATAAGTAGATGAGAATAAATTCCCAGTCAGCCATATTCTCAGGGTAAACTTGAACAGCATAACATCCAGAATATGCCAACCTTATCTATAACCAGAATTGGACCAAAGACCACACCCCCACCCCTGCAATCTCATCCATCCCTTGTTTGTATTAATACAGTTTATATTTATTACATTTTCTTTGTATTGAGATGCTGGGTAACTGGCTGATCAGAGTGAGTCCCTAGGAAGAAAGGGACCACATGTCCTACTCATCTTTGTATTTTCACCCTCTCTTCCTTCTCCACCACGTGCTCCCTCTCTTCCTTGCACATAGTGATGATCAATAATTTGTTTATTGAATTGAATCCAAGCCTTCCAGGCAACATCAAATCTGATGCTCACAAAGAAAGGGGATAGGAAGCCATACCAGGAAAGGCCCTGAGATGTAATTCTTCTGTTAGTCTAAAGCTAGAGGGTAAAGAAACAAAAAAAGGTAGTTCTGACCAAACAAACGAGGTTATCTGGGGTGAGAAACAATGGAAGACCTTTGTACTTAATCCATCTTTTACCCAACCCTGCTTTTAGAATAGAACTGAACAAAACAACCTCTCAGCAGTGAAAGGATGACATAAAATGATGCTCTTAATGTTCAACATTGCTAAATTCCTTCTCCTACTATGAAAGCAAAGACATTTATAATCATCGCTTCCTGGTTTAAAGATTTCCAGGGACTGATCATTTTGCAAGCCTGTAACTCCATCCAGTCTAACATGCCTCATGAATCACTAAGAATCTGAAAAGGTCCTGACAAGAGATCTCTTGACTTCAGAATTGTTAAGATCTCTTTCAACGGCTGGATGCCAACCCTTACCCAGCTGTTTTCCCTAACAATTCCTGCACCCAGTGCCTTCAGTGCAGAGACACAGTAAGGTCTCTACATCCTTAATATAGGAAATCTTCTGCCTTCACCCAACGTACCAACCTGACAAATGGCCTACTGGACATCCACTGAGGAGTCTACAATAGCTGTCTTCAAAACAAATTAAAGAACTTCATTTTCCAATACCATTTCAGGCATAATTACTCTGCTACTAACCATTGCTCTACTCTCATCAAGCTCAAGAAGAAACAGTCTAGGACAACTTCAGGTCCTTTGCAAAGGTCATTAATCTTTTAACAGTCTTTGAGTATATTGTCAAGAGCTGAGCTGTGACCAAATTACATAACCTTGGTAAAGATTCTAGGCTTCTTGTATCATCTGAGCAAGTCTAATAATCTTCTGCTTAAACCAAGTAAAAAGGCATGGCAGATGCAGTCCCAACCTTGGATTGTTTTAAACTAAGCCAATGTAGTTGGCAGTCACTGTCCAGTACATAAATATGCAATACTAAATAACCCATCCAAAAGATCAAATCATTAGACCACCACTTAGATTGTATTTAGGGATGCTTTTCTACTTACAGTCACCTACAGCACTGGACCAAGTCAGAGTTTTATTTCGGCCAGGCATTAAATTATTAAGATATTTCCTATTTTCCAGAATAAGCATAATTTTTCGCATCTCACTGGAACAGAATTCAGATATCTCAATCAAGTCCCAAAGTGATGGAGAAGATTCAAGGTTCTTCATGGACTTTTCAGCCAGTGCCTGTGCAGAAAGAGTCTGGGCCTCCCGGGAAGAGTATAAGGCCATGTCCGCCCATGAAGGATGCTGGGAACCTCCTTCTCCCAACAAAGTCTGCTCCCAAAGTCTGGCAGCAGCATAGCTCTCACTGCAAGCAACCCAGAACAGAGAGAAAATCTCATTTTGCCTGTCTATCATAAAATTCAGCTAAATTCAGGCCTAACCAGAGTGATCTAAATGAGGTCATCTGCAATGCCTATTCATTCACCTCGTTCGAAATGGTCTTTGCTCTGTTTTGCCTTTTGAGCATGCTATGTTCAGTCTTGTAAACTGCTTCAAACCATATGCTAGAAATAAGATATATAAAATATGCCATTCTTGGGCAAATGTCTTTTTCTTTCCTGGGACAATCTTACCTGCATATGAGTCTATTTTTCACCAAGGCTGTAAAAATCTCCTGAAATAGTTTATGCTGGGGATGTGTGCTGAAATTTCTCTCATTCTTGTAGTTTATACTGAGATGAAACAAACAGAAAAGCATTTTATAGTAAAAATTATTTAGGCTGCCTCAAAATTACCAATGCAGAGAAAGATCACCTGTATGCATGAAGATACTGAGGGATTTTTGGGATTCAATATATCACCAAAGCAAGTATCAGTTGTTAAAACAGGAAGTAGAAATTCAATTATAAAGTTAATAATAAAGATTATAGCATATATATTTCATTTTACCACATTAACTAAATTATTCCCTATAAACATTTAAGAGCTAAAACTTGTGTGAGGGAAGAAAAGGGCATATGGAGAGAAAGAATGATTGGGCACATGATCTAGACAGCCATGAAACAGGCAGACAAGAATCCCTCCCTTTACTTTACTACCCACAATGGCTTGTGGCCGCTCTAGTTGTTAACACCACTGGATGCCATGCATATTTCCTTGTGGTCAACACCACTTCAACTGTGGTTGTGGATTGTGGGTGTGGGTGTGTGTACAACAAAGTTGTGAGATATTCTAGCTTCAGTTTTTTCTTTCCTGATATTACAGCCATCAGAGAGGTTAAAAATATCCCAAAGCATTCCACTTTAAAACTGGGAAAGGATAAGAGGTAATGCACAAAAGGGTCATATCACTATGGAATATACAATACAATATTTTTGTGCCCATTAAAATAGACCAATTTAAGCCTATCTAGGCATGTTGTAAACCTGTTTGAAAAGTGACTTGGAGCAAGTTTTGTGAATGGAGACGTAGTGCTCAAGTCACATTCTGCTTTAAAAGTTGTAACAAATATAGATAAATTAAAAAGAAAAAGAAAATAGACCAATTTTAAGATCTAGGAGAAATACGCTGGAATTACATGGATGCACCACCTCAGAGGCAGGTTTTGTATCCTTATTATTGCCATTTGTTCTGTTCTGCCTTCACAGTCTTTCAGGTGTCATGGGACTGACTGTGTGTCCCTAAGTTAGCCAGGGCTGTCATTTCTTAGTACATGGACATGGGCAGACTGAATATGTAACAATTTTTAAAGAATTTTGTGTTCCTCACTAAACATGTATTTTAAAAATATTAACTCATGTAACATCATGTGATGTTTGTGGACTATTAAAGTCATTGTCATAAAATAACAGAGAAACAAAACCTAGGCCAAATAAATAAATTATCATTCTAGAATATTTATTTATATATATATTTTTTAATTTTTTAACATCTTTATTGGATTATAATTGCTTTACAATGGTGTGTTAGTTTCTGCTTTATAACAAAGCGAATCAGTTATACATATACATATGTCCCCATATCTCTTCCCTCTTGCGTCTCCTTCCCTCCCATGCTCCCTATCCCACCCCTCTAGGTGGTCACAAAGCACCGGGCTGATCTCCCTGTGCTCTGCGGCTGCTTCCCACTAGCTATCTATTTTACGTTTGGTAGTGTATATATGTCCATGACACTCTCTCACTTTGTCCCAGCTTCCCCTTCCCCTTCCCCATATCCTCAAGTCCATTCTCTAGTAGGTCTGCGTCTTTATTCCCATCTTGCCCCTAGGTTTCATGACCATTTTTTTTTTTTAGATTCCATATATATGTGTTAGCATATACGGTATTTGTTTTTCTCTTTCTGACTTACTTCACTCTGTATGACAGACTCTAGGTCCATCCGCCTCACAACAAATAACTCAATTTCATTTCTTTTTATGGCTGAGTAATATTCCATTGTATATATGTGCCACATCTTCTTTATCTATTCATCTGTTGATGGACACTTAGGTTGCTTCCATGTCCTGGCTATTGTAAATAGAGCTGCAATGAACATTTTGGTACATGACTCTTTTTGAATTATGGTTTTCTCAGGGTATATGCCCAGTAGTGGGATTGCTGGGTCGCATGGTAGTTCTATTTTTAGTTTTTTAAGGAACCTCCATACTGTTCTCCATAGCGGCTGTATCAATTTACATTCCCCCCAACAGTGCAAGAGGGTTCCCTTTTCTCCACACCCTCTCCACCATTTATTGTTTGTAGATTTTTTGATAATGGCCATAGAATATATATATTGATATTTCATGTCATTCATTATTTACATGACACTTAGTGCCAAATGACCTTAACAAACTGTAAAATAGGGAGAATCAGCTCCTGGAAGGAGGGTGGCCCACAACAATGTGCAGCTTCTAAGAGGTCTCCATGGCAACAGGAGAGCAAAACAGGGGCTGACACTTTCAACGTGAAAGGGGAGGGTGATGCTTCAACTGAAAGCCTCATGGCCTTGACAACCACAGCCTTCAGCCATCACATCTGCTCACAGCAGGTGCTTCTTTATGCCTCCTCACAGCTGGCAAGATATGCACCAGCCAAAAGCTAAAGACAAAGCTTGTTATCAGCCTCATCAGGTCAACAGCCTGAGCCATTTCTTCATGGAGCAAACACTAAATGTATGTCAAGAAGGTATCCTGAAACTCCCATGTCACTTTCACCTGCAGCCATTCAGCCTGCTATTCACACAGTACTTATGGGAACAGGTTAAGCACTAACTAAAATTATTAAACTAAGAATCCCCATGGTAAATTTTAAAATGGGTTTTAAATTTTAGCTCCTGTGACAAACTTAAATAAATCTTTGGGCTAATTAGCGGCCCAGGCTGCTGAAGGTAAGGGACATACTGGATTTCTTACCTAAAATTTTCAAGTTCAATGGCTTCTGTGGACTCGTGCCACTGACCTCGAGCTCCATGTCCACCCACCCTGATGGCAGGCTCAGACTTCGTCATGCTGCTTCTGGCACTATCGAAGTTAATGGCTGGAAGCTACAGAAATAAAGGCACAGAGGACAGGAGGATGACAATTCAGCACAGGATAAAGACAGTCACAAAAGCAGAGGCAACAGTGAAGGGAATGAGTGTTTCCCCGAGCCAACAATTAACAAGTTAGCTATGTCAAATGTAGGAGTTTTCCAAGATTTAGACATCCTTGACTTAAACATTTACTCTATCTTATGCTGCTTTTTCTTCATAGCTTGTAACACCACCTGATATCTTACAGTTATTTATGTATTTTCAGTCTCCTTGGTTATACTGTCAGCTCGACACAAGCAGGAGCTTTCCTATCGCTGTTCAATGTTGTATCCCTAGTACCTTACACAGTCCTGGGGATCCAGACCTGGGGGAGGCCTGGGCATTAGGCGCTTTTGCAGCTTCTTGGGCGATTCAAACGTGCAATCAGAACAGAGAGCTGACAGATACAGCTAGAAACTCTCTGGCCTAGAGTGGAGCCCCAAATTGAGAGTGAGTCATCTTCACTCATTCTTCATCCTTACCCGTCACGTACACTGCTTGCCAACTGGAAGAGTTGTAAAGGTAAAGAGATACTATCACTTTTAATCAGTCTGAATATCCTGATTCCTCAATCATGTTTATAAAAGTCATGAAAATATATTTTAGAATTAACCATAAGAAAAGGAAAAATTTACATTAACTAAAACAATTTGAGCATGCCCCCATTTACAATATTAACTGGTAATTATTTATATAGTAAACTGTGATGTTATCAGTATTCAAGTAGTGTCACTTACCAACATTTACCTATAATTGGGATAACCCTGAGAATTGTTTCTTGTACCACAGCAAAGCTGAACAAAGTGCAAACAAATACCCTATTCTTTCCAAAGTACAAATGAGGCATGTTCTATAATTAGCTAAGATTTTACAGATGAGGTACGGAAAGCATAGTATAACAAAATAAACTTTTATTTTCAGTAAATCATTCTGTCCTATATATTATAATTATCAAATAATGCTACAATATGCTATGCTTATTGTCCTATTTCATCAAAGCATTTGATAGAAGTCTGCATAAAGACATGGTTTCCTCATCTAAAGAGAATATGCTGGACTTCCCACAAGGCAGTCAGCTGATAGATACATTCTAATAAGGGTGTTCTTTAATAGGAAGCAAACCTTTCTTCATCATATGCCACCCATAGTTGAATTCTCAAAATATTAATAATAAATCTTATATCCTGTAAAACTACATTTCTATCTCAGTTCAGTGGGCCACCACAAGACAACAGGCCACAGGCACTTGAGGCACAATGCTCAGTGGTTAAGAGAACGAACTCTAGGCCAGATGCCCTGGGTTGAAATCTACTCTTAGACAACTGCATGATCTTGAAAGTTACTTAATCTCTCTGTACATCAGTTTCCACATCATTACAATGAAAATCATAATAATTCTATGTAGTTCAAAGTTATTATGAAAACTAAATGACTTAGAATTTATAAAGCACTTGCTATGTGCCAGGCATAGTTCTCAGTGCTTTATACTCTTTTAATCCCCCAAATTATTCTCATTGCACAGATGAATTTGCTAAATAAATGAGATTTGACCTTCCAAATTAGATGATTAGATGTGATAACCCAAATGATGCTAGGCATGAAGTCACAGCAATGAGCAGACCGTCCTGTGTTACTCAGGACGTGGAATGACGCAGAAGACAAGAAATAGGTTTTCCAGGCCCAAGGGCTCTCAAACCCCCTTGCCGTCACCACAACTGCCAGAATAGTGACTGCCAAAGAGAAGGTAGCCAGCACAGAGAGAACAAGCCCAGTGCACTCCAGGGAGAGGGCAGAAAGCGGCAGCAGCTTGCAGCCATTCCCTTCGGCAGCAGCACGGGCAGCTGGTGTTGGGAATCCACTCATGCACGCGCAGTGGATGAGAAAGACTTGACATCTATAGTTGCAAAGACCAGGAACTTAACAGGAGAATCTATAAGCAACCAGCCTTCTTCAGATAAAAGTAACGTGAGTTTGAAACCCAGTTCAAAGCTTACAGCCTTTTCTCTTGGCTCCCCAGTCCCTTAGGCTCTTTGTGAATCCTTTATCTACCACATAAGTAGGTCCAGTGAAATCTCACCATCTGAAATAGCCACAGTCGGGGTATCCAGAGTAGAAAGGCCAGGTGAGCAGCCCCTTACAGACTTCTGTCATGTTAAGCCATTAGTTCTGTTAAGATACACTACCTCCGATGGGTTATTTTGGGCAACTCAAAATCTGAATTTTCAGCATCATAAATGTAGCATAACACAAATTCATATAGATAATTTAAAAGTGTGTCCCTTCCTACAAATGACAGACTTATAGACTCTCAGATTTGAAAACTTCCTCGAAAGGCATAGGATTCAGCCTCCAATCATCATCACCATCATCACCACCATAATAATCATCATAATGATGATGATCACCATCATGATTATCATCATCACCATCAACACAGATAACACTTGTGTGGTAGTTACCACATGCCAGGCACTGTTCTAAGTGTTTTGCAGGTTTAAATCTATTTAATCCTCATAACGACCGTATGAAGTAAATACCATTTTATGATGAGAGGACTAAGGCACAGAGGGCTAAGTTACTTAGGGCCCATAGTTCACAAGGGGCACAGCTGGGATTCAAATCCAGGCAATCGCCCTTCCTCTCCAACACTCTCAATCCTCCAGCATCTCTGATGTATCACCAATGATGAGAAACACTATCTTGAGTCAGCCCACTTGCTTTTCAGAGTCCTACTCTTGCCCAAGTTTTCCTTCAGGCTGAGATGAAAATCTGTCCCCCTGTGTTCTTTCTCTGTCTTTCAGCCCAGCGTCATCTCCTTTTACAATGTTAGATTTGACTATAAGTCCACATAAAATAAATAAACAAAAAATTGGGGTGAATAAAAACAACTCCTCAAGTTGTAGGTGCATTAAACTGGTCACCCATCCCAGAAAGCATGCAGTGTAAGCATGCATCCATTCCTGCCCAGGAGCATGCTGCGGACACAGCTGCTGACCACTTTTCAGGGCTCAGCACACACAGCTCCTGGAGATCACCTGCCCCAGCCTCCCTGGTGGAGCCAGTCACTGCCTCCCCAGTGGCATTACTGTGCCAATCTCTCTTACAGCACTTATCACAATCCCATACTACGTCTGCACAACACATCAGCCTTTCCCCCTGAATGTGGCCACCCTGAGGGCAGCATCACATCTGTCTGTCTTTCTGTTCTTAGCACCTCTCACAGATCCAATGGGAATGGGATACCTACTTTACCTACTGTGGAATGGGAAGTTCACTTCATCCCCAGTCTCTTTGCTAAACTGATTCATCTCCAGACAAGTTCCTTCGCTCAGTGTGTGTGTTGCAGACACATCTCTTGCCAGATGTGTGAGACACTGGGTATATAGTGAGCAGGACAGCCACAGCCTCTTCCTTCTCAAAAAGTTTACAGCCCAATGGGGGGTCGGGGGTCATCTAGCACTAGAACACACAGCAAAATGAGTGAACAAGGGTTTGTTGTGGTAGAAAGTAAAAGAGAGATAGGGTGGGTCCTGGACCAGGATGCCTGGAATATTCCAGAGTATTCCAGGCAGATTTTTGCACAGGCTGGAAGGCAGAGAAAAACTACATATGCTCTAGAAAGTGGCAGGTCCCTGAGCAGCTTGAGTAGCATGAGTGGAAAGGAAAGAGACTAGAGATTCAAGTGAAGGACCTTCCTAAAAATTTGATCATGTCACTTCTGTCTGGAAATTTCAACCTTCTCTGTTGCTTATGTGATAGATACAAAATTTGTAGATAGGCCTTCAGACATTGCACAGTTTCTTACAGCTTTATTTATCACTACTTTCAACAGAAATGTCTAGTCACCATTTTGCTTCAGTGTGTGTTATTTTCTTTCCTTCAGATATCTGATTATTTTACTCGCTTCACCCAGAATGCCTTTCCCATCAATTCCACCAGAGGACAGCCAGACCATTTTCCAAGAACCATGTCCTTTCCTGTGACTTGAGCTAAAAGTGGCCTCCTCATCCTCCTCAGAATCTGCCCAGCCACTGCCCATGCCTCTCCTACAGGATTCAAGTGTCCACTGGCCGTGGAAACCATAACTGCCGTTCCTAGTCCTGGTGTCTCAGAGCACAACAGTGCCTTAGACTTTTTCTTTCCACAGCATCTATCAAGACCTCTTTTATTTCAAGGCAAGTAATGGGCCTGTAATGAATTATTTTTCTATCTTTCTTTCATCTGTTTCTTTTCCTAATTGCAAACCAATTTCTCAGCTCCCTATGGTTTTAAATGTAGGAAAAAAATTTAATTCCAGCTCAAGGCAAATTATTTCAAGACTTGTGAAAATCTCTGGTGAAACCTCCAACCAACTTTATGACTTTACTTTGCTTCAACAACCCTGGGGCAATTCTTTTTCTTGAAGTATTTGGTTTTACTGGATTATGATTATTCTTACCCTGCTTACGATGAAAGGGCTCCTCTGCCTCAGTGTGTCTCTGTCCCCACTTCTGTGACAACAGAACTGTTCTCAGAACAGCAGTCTCTAAGATGGTGAAGCAAGGTACGCAGAGGCTCACAGACCAAACGGGAAGAGAGCGAAAGTAGAACAGGGGAACAGACGCAACAATGAGGAAGGGCTTGGCTCATTAGAAATTCAGATGAAGGACATCCAGTTCTTATAATTCTCTGCCCAAACCCACAAAGTACACTTCCCTCTGCAACTGCTTAATTAGCCATCTTGGTTCATTTGCAAGTGACAGGTCAGGTCTTGTTAGAACAGAAATTCAGGTGAGTGGGCCTTAATCCCCAGGCTTCCCTTTTCAAACTGACTGCTAAAGATCTTAGAGCCTAATGTGTGGCCAACTTGCATATTTTGATGGTCATTTCCTCTGGACTCTGAGTCTACTTTGTTCCCAAACCTTGCTTTTCTTTTATGATAATCTGAGTACTTTACATATCTTCATAAGCCACCTTACTCTCTTTCTGGAGCA